AGTAGGACTGCTCAGACATGGAATTGTCTTCAGATTTTTCTTCACTGTTTGTGCGTACAAGGTATAATAGCCATCTGGGCCCAAGCTGAGAGCCTCTACAGAGAGACTGTGAAGAAGCAAGGGAGCAGTGTTGGAGTCTGATGTGTGATAAACAGGAGTTAACCCAGCAGGGATGTGGAATTTTTCCATCAGGTTAGAACTGTGAGGAAAAGGAAGAGCATTTTCATACTGTTTTGCTGCATTAGGATGCCCGCTAAGGCACCATCCAGGGAACTGGTGCTGACTCAGATCACACATCAGACACCTCCCATGCACACTGCGGTTGTGGTGGTCCCTTGGAAGCTTGTACCACCACCATTCTATGCCTTTCACCTGGTGGCTCACTGCCTGGGCCAGCTCCCTCTTCCAGGGCCTCCACAGAATTTCCCTGTTGCCAGACCAGGAGCAAAGAGTCCTTCTTTCTTTAATGATAATGAGTGCCTTGTATATGCAGTTTTCTGGCACCCCTGCAAACCTTTCAGTACTTCTCAATCTTACGTTACGCACTGAGCAGGAAGAAATGCATAAGCACTTTGGGAAACAGAGCTACATATGATAGCTCTGATAACACTCCCACCCCCAAAAAAAATGTAACACTTCCCAACTGGCTGTATTTTCACAGTAATTTTTCATGTGGTGTTGTGCAGCTTTCATTATTTCTAGCAAAAGCTAATGTTTCATTTTTAAAGCTGAAGGAATATGTAGATAATGCTGTTTTTTGTTAAGGCTGCTCATTTTCCCACTTGGAAAACTAATCATAAAATCATAGAATAGTTAGGGTTGCAAAGGACCTTATGATCATACAGTTCCAACCCCCCCGCCATGGGCAGGGACACCTCACACTAAACCATTTCACCCAAGGCTCCATTCAACCTGGCCTTGAACACCATCAAGGATGGAGCATTCAGAGCTTCCTCAGGCAACCCATTCCAGTGCCTCACCACCCTCACAGTAAAGAACTTCCTCCTTATATGCAATCTAAACTTCCCTGTTTAAGTTTTATCACTACAGTCCCTAATGAAGAGTCCCTCCACAGCATCCCTATAGGCCCCCTTCAGATGCTGGAAGGCTGCTATGAGGTCTCCACGCAGCCTTCTCTTCTCCAGGCTAAACAGCCCCAACTTTCTCAGACTATCTTCATACGGGAGGTGCTCCAGACCCCTGATGATCCTTGTAGCCCTCCTCTGGACTTTTTCCAACAGTTACATGTCCTTTTTATGTTGAGGACACCAGAACTGCACACAATACTCCAAGCGAGGTCTCATGAGAGCAGAGGAGAGGGGCAGGATCACCTCCTTCGACCTGCTGGTCATGCTCCTTTTGATGCAGCCCAGGATAAGGTTGGCTTTCTGGGCTGTGAGCACACACTGAAGCCAGGTCTTCTTCAGTTTCTCAGCAACCAACACCCCCAAGTCCTTCTCTGCAGGGCTGCTCTGAATCTCTTCTCTGCCCAGCCTGTAGCTGTGCCTGGGATTGCTCCGACCCAGGTGTAGGACCTTGCACTTGGCATGGTTAAACTTCATGAGGTTGGCATCAGCCCACCTCACAAGCGTGTCAAGGTCCCTCTGGATGGCATTCCTTCCCTCCAGCTTATCAACCGAACCACACAGCTTGGTGTCATCAGCAAACTTGCTGAGGGCGCACTCAATACCACTGTCCATGTCACCGACAAGGATGAGGACGTAAAATGTCCTAATGAAGACATAAAACTACGGATCTTGAAAGATAGTATTCAATGCAGGGAAAATTGTGTCAAGCCTCGTTTTATGACTAAACTGGAACACACCTATTAAGTTCTGAAAAGAGACCTTGTTAGTTTAGTTCATGACCTTCTAGAGGTTTGGCGGTTTATAATCCGTTTTATTATCAAAAGCTGTTATAATTTTTCATTGAGTGTATGTAGACATCAATACTTATGATCTGTTTTTTCATCTCTTCAGTGGTAGCTGGGCTGACTTTGAGTAAATAATAGTCAACATAAAGAAGTAATGCTGCATTACCTTCCCACTCATCTGGAAATGGAAAGATTTTTTGTCTAAATTGAATTGCACACCCAAGTTCTTAAGTTGAAAATGGGCTAAGTCAAAATAATCTCTTAGTGCAGAGTACTCTACACTAAGTACAGTACTATAATACAGTTCAGAAATGTTTTGACTTTTTTTCTTTCCCAGCATGCAGTGTTACAACTTTTTTAAGTTGAGGGGCAATGAGAAGAAAGGTCTCAAGGGCACTTTTGCTGCTGTCATAAGGCATAACTTTGTTTCATAGAGTGAGTTCAAAATTACTTCAGGAATTTCTCTTGTGGCTCACGACAGAAAGATTGATTCAGGTAAATAACCTGGACATTTAACTAGGGTCCCAAGCAGCCCCAGCCAGCCTTCATGCTGCCCCAGGCTACATCCTTGGTGCAGCCTGTCCGAGTATGTTGACATGAGCTTAGCCTTGGCCTGCCTGCCATGTGGATGCTCTCAGGGGACTGAACCGGCTTTAATATCACGGAAGGATTTAGGACTTGCTTCTTTAGACCCAGGGAAAAAGTAGGAAGCAGGCAGCCAGACTACTTTTCAGGCAAGCAAAATATTAAATAAAATTGGAAACCAGTACACATGAATGAACACAAGCGCAGGGTAAGAACATATGTTTTAGACTATATAATGACTTACAGTTTATGGCTAAGGAATGCAGCAGTAGAAAAGACATCAGTTTAAAGTTCTTTCTTTCTGGAAGTCACAGAAAGTGAAGGACAGCAGTATCTCTTTATATATGATTTTAAACAGCATCTAATATGTTGATGTCTCTTCCTAAATTGCCCTTGTAGCAACACTGGGGAAACATAGGGCTTCACAGAAGTTGGAAAAGACCTCTGCATTAGACAGGAGAAATAAATGGGTAGGGGAACATGCAATGAGCTATGTTTGTAGCAAAGACAATGGGATCCTTTCGTAGTCCATATCCACCCTGCAAAATAAATCAGGCACTTCTGAAATGAGGAGAAAAGAGAAGGCTCCAAAGAGAGTGAAGATGAGGTCAAATTTGAAGTGACAAGCAGTGCAGAAAGAGAGAAGGATGATCCCTCAAGGGTCAGTACTGGGACCAATACTGTTTGATATCTTCATAAAAAAACACAGCGGGATTGAGTGTACCATAAGATGAGACCAAACTCAATGGTGCCATTGATATGCTTGGGGGAAGTGATGCTATCCGGAGGGACCTCCATATGCTTGAGGAGTGGGCCTGTGTGAATGTTACGAAGTTCAACAAGGCCAAGTTAAAGGTCCTGCACCTGGGTTGGGGCAATCATCCAGCTCAATATAGAATGGGTAAAAAAATAAACTGAGAACAGCCCTACAGATAAAGGACTTGGGGGTACTGGTGAATGAAAAGCTCCACATGAGCCAGCAGTGTGTGCTTGCAGCCCAGAAAGCCAACTGTATCCTGGGCTGCATAACAAGAAGTATGGCCAGCAGGTTGAGGGAGGTGGTTCTCCCCTTCTACTCCACTCTTGTGTGTCCCTTCCAACCCATTCTATCAATCTATAATATAGGAAGCAATCTTGTCATATAACATACTTACTAGGTCTTTTGCTGTCTCTTACACATGTTCTGAAAACCTGGATGACAACCTGTTTCTTCAGAGGTTTACGTTTTTAGTGTAACTTAGAATAAGCCCCTAGGCATGATGCAGCTGAGCATTTTGATGCATTTGATCGAGTCAACTTTCAAAACAAAAATATAGTTGAATCTTAAGAGGTCACATCCACCCTAGCACATTTTCATTGAGATTAGCTTAGGAAAAAAAGACCATTGCCTCAGCTGTTTCCTGACAACCTTGCAGGGGATGCTGGTAAATAGAAAGGGTCATAGTCACACTAACCCTAACAGATACAGGGAAACTAGTTAACTACAGTGACTGAGTGACAGGAGATTAATATTGCTGCCTGTTTGAGGGCTAGATGGGAAATATCTGTAGGAAAAGATTTGACCTGTAAATAATCACCGCTCCCCAAAAGGCAATAAAACAACAAACTGTTTAAGGATTCAAAGAATTTGTAGGGTTTCACATCTCAACTTTTCTCCAGTAGAGGGAAAACTGATTCAGTAAAATTGCTTTCACTTGCCTGTTGGGACCAGCCTATAGTTGTGCTGGGAGGTTCAGGTCACCATTTACAATCATCTACTTCTCACATAGTTCCACCTGTAACATTAAACCTGCAGGGTAAATTGAGAGATAAATGGAAGTTTCCAGTATTCAGAGCTTTCTACAGAAGCAAGGGATATAGTATATTCACACCTAAAACAAAAGGTGTTAGGATTCTCAGGAACAAGATCTCATGGTATCTTGTTTGTATACACCAGCAGAAACTCAACCAAAACCCTATTTCTTTGCTGTCTTCACATGTACGTCTGTCCTCAAGGGAGAGTCTGGATGATAAAGAGCTCAGTCACTGATAAGAGAAATTCAGGGAAAAAAAGGATAAGGTGTTAATGACTGTGCTACGTCTCACCTCCCATTACTTCAGTGTGATCTACAAGTTGGGTGAAAGCACTTGGTATTTTGGTATCTTTTTCTGAACGGATTTCTACATTTGGTGTGGATAGTTAAGGTCCTACAAAGGCTGACAGAATCTATAGGTAGACTGAACTTGTGCTTTTCGTCAAAATAGCATTGCCAAGCCACAGTGAATAGACGTTATGAGATCTGTTCTGTTGTAGATTTCTCATTTGCAATGCTGCATAAGGGATCAGACTGACTTTTAGCCCATGGGTTGGTCTGGCTAATGCCAAGTATTAATTTAGTCACAGAATTCCCCATTTTAGTTATAATGCTTCTGCTGTTCTGTATTATGTCCGCATTTTACAGGTAGGGCTCCAGCTATGTATTTGCTGCAATTTACCACTTGAAAGCTGAATGCAGGCATAGGTCAGCTGAAGAGAACAGAATCTCTAATGCAATGCAGCAGATTATATAAACAACACATTTATTTGCTTTATGAGGACAATCAAATTCAACAGATGAAAAAGATTTGAAAAAGTAAGCGTAACCCTGGAGGTAACAGAAGCTCTCATTTTGCTCTCCTGTTCAATCACTGAATAATCTCTAGTGACGTTGCGGAGGCATAATACTAAAATTTGATCTAGACCAGGATGGTTTTTTTGTCAGCTGACATTACTTCCTGGAGTTTTGCTGTGTCTAACATGTATATCTTTGCAGTCATGTATCCAGATAACAATTTAAGGACCAATCATTTCAGATTAGGTGGATTAAGAGAGAAACAAAACAGTGTTTCCTAGTCATAGAATAGTTTTTGGCATTTATGTAGCCTCCTCTAAACAAATATTGTTAATTGATTTAATCCTCAGTATCCTTGTAAAGCAGACAATTATCATCATCCTAATTTCACAGCAGGAGAAATTTGAGGATCAAAGCCTAGGTTATTGCTCAAAACTCTACATGGCAAGTCTAATTCAAATCCACAGAACTTCATTTTATGATGTAATCATGATGTCCTTCTTCCTTCAGGGCAAAAAAGCTGTTGTACTCAAAGAAATAATGGTTGCCACAGCATGGAAAACACAACATAAAACTATTCTGGGCCTGTAATTCATGATAATAAATCCCTTTTTGTTATAAACGGCACTATTTAATGCAATTCAGAACTCTGACAGAGTCCAAAAGAAAACAAATCTGAGGTTCCTTGTCTTTTGAAGTACAAGCTGTTGCAGAGCTTTGTTCCTCTGATGTTTGGTATATCAACTGCTTTCAAACTAAATTTATTTGTAGTCAGTTGACTGACTGATTTATCAAAGAGCCCTTCTTCTTTGGTAGTTTCATGCTGGGACACTGCAGGCAGTTCACCTTCTGCCTCCATAGTGCTTCACTGAGCTAGTTTTATTTCTTCCAATTTCTTCCAGTTACCTAGGCTTTGCATCTTTGCTGATCTCTTCTACCTGGTATTCAGTGACAGGATGTGTGGGAATGGTTCAAAGCTGTATGAGAAGAGTATCAGACTAGGTATTAAGAAACATTTCTTTACCGAGAGAGTGGTCATACATTAGAACAGGCTTCCTAGAGAGGTGGTTTATGGCTCGTGCCTGTCTGTTATTGTTTCTTTGATGAAAAATGCTGTCCTTCACCCAGATAGATTAAGCTCCTTTACCAGACTGCAACCCCCATGCACCAGTGCAGGAACAGCAGTGGCTCAGCCAGGGGTAGCCATGCAGTGTAATGTAACCCAACCCAGAGATTTATTTTACGGGGGCATGGGCAAGTATGAAGTTGAACTATAATTCCCTGAAGGCATCTACCTATTACTGGATATTTTGACAGTCCAAGGTTTTGTCTGGATTTTTTTTATTTTCCATTTGTTCTGGTTTTGTCTGAGATAAGGAAGTAATTGTAGAAGAATTAAAAACTCTGTCACAACAGGTATTCTGATTTCTCATCCCAGTTGGTTCTGTTGTTACATTACTTACACATAAACCCAAACAACTGCTACTAAAACACAGTCACAATTCAAACTACCCTTAGTAATTTCTAATTCTGTCTTGGGTAAAAATCGATACCTAATTGGCTGCAAACCAAGATAAAGCTAAGAAAAAAAAAAAAGGGGGAAAGACTTGGTTCCCATCCTTTATACCTACCACTTATCACACCACAGCTCTCATTGCCTGAAAAGCAGTGCGAGCTCTGTACCAAAAGCCCTCATCCAGCAGCAGGATGCTTATCTGGCAATTAAAAGGTTCTTCCATCATTCCTATATCAGAGCACCTCCAGCACATCATTCATGCAACTGATGGAAAGATCATTTTGGACAACAGAAGCTGTAGCAACAGGGCAGGTGGTATAGGAATGTGAGGGAAGGGAGAGCTCTTAAGAGCCTGTGTTTTAGCCAGAGGCAGAACGATAGTGCTGAGGAAGACTCAGTAGATAAAATAAATGCCCAAGAGCTGCTGAAGATTTTTCATGTGTGTGAATGTTAACAGAGCAGTAGACAGTGATCTACTCTCAAGCAAAAAGACCCCAAGTAGTTCACAAGGCAAGATAGCCAATGGTATTCTTCTACAAAAATAACCTCATGAAAATAAAGCTTTTGATTTCCTTGTGCAGTGTTCTTGGTCCCAACCTAAGTGGAACTCCGTAGGGAACATGTGAAAGAACTGTTTTCCCTAAACACGCATTACACACATAGCCAAGGATAGGCAGCTCTAAACCCACAGCAAAAATGAGCACAATAAGGTCACATTTCTACAGGTATTTATTAATGTACTTTAGCCATAGCAGAACCGGGGAGGGAATATATCAGTATAAGTTCATTACAGTCAACTGGAGCCTTTGTTTTAATCCTTGTGGGCTGATCCAGAGTCCATGAGGGAAGAATTGAAAACACAAGAAGAAAATGGGTAGGCAGAACAGCATATTGACTATGACTAAACAAACACATACATTTTTCAAGTGTCAAAATACCTCTCATTGTTATGCTTTGAACTTTCAGCAAAATGGAAGTTATTTCAAAATGATCTGGAATCACTCATCCCATATTACAGTAGTAATAGACCCTTCATTTCTCCTCATGAAGTAAAATGTTACTGTGGGGACTGATAAATTTGCTGCCGCCTGTCAGTCAGGATCCATCAATCATACAGCAAAGCCCTAAACCATTCTGACTTAATGAAATGGGAATAGGAAATAGAAGAAGGATCCATTTTATTACTATTCACTGAAGCTCTTTGCCTATACTTGTTCCTAACACTGCTTTAAAAAACTCAAGTTTCTCTTAGGGAGGAGGAATTAAATTCACATGTGCCACCCCTTTTGTATTAGTATATGGATTTTAGAAGCTCACTCTAAGGCCATGCGTGGGATAAATATGAAAATTAGTCTTTCTTTCCTACAGTGATAACCCCATTGAAAGCAACAATGCTGAACCCAGGACACTGTCTTAAACCAGTGTGCACTGAAGACATACATAGTAGTATTATTAATATTGTACTCTTCATGTGCACAAGCAATCCCTTTGAAGTTCATGCAGCCTTACTTACATCGAAGTATGGGTGAAGAGAAGTTTCTTTCCTCTAACAAAATAACTGTCCCCAGTTTATGATCCTTGCTGCTTTGATCTCTCACTTTGCTAACTTTGTATGAGAGATCATATTTCATGAGGACTCACTAAAAACTTTTAAGTTATTAGGGATTATCTGAATAGTAAGCTATATCCATAAAAATACAACAGTATTTCTCAGATACTGGTATATGTGCTTTTGTTTCTGCCTTCCCTGCTATTCTGCCATGGAACAACTTCATTAGTATTATTTTGGTAGCAGCTTATTGAGCTGTTTTCTTCTCATCTCTACTGTTCTTGGGATGCTCCAGCTGCTCATTAAAATGCCTAATGGCCTGATAGGTACATTCAGCCCCATGCATTTGTAAAGCCTAAATTAGGTCCATCAAATAGCTTAGAATTTCATTTGGAAATGGAGGAAAGAATACTGCAAGGGAAGGAATATAATCTTGGTTGATCTAATAAGAAGCTTCAGCAAATTCTCCTCTTTTTAAAAAGAAAAAAGGACAACAAACCACAAAACCCCAGGCTCAGAAACAGGCTCAATACAGAACTTTCCCTGCCTTTGCTTCCTGGTTATCTGCCCATACCTCTGTCTTCCTTGCGCTCAGGATATAACATCTTATAGAAGCTCACATGCCCCATGGGCAGCAAGGCTGAGCCTAGGGGTAGACCTGAGCCACTTTAAGCTTGAATAAGAGACACGTCTTAAGTTTCTTGCCTTAACTTGCAAAAACTTTTTCCTGCTGTCTCTGTCTTAATCCAAGGTATAGATTCTTTAGATCAAGAATGCCACCTAGTCATGAACTTCAGCTTCTGGAGGCATGTTCACATTATGCTTCCTTGGACTACTATGAAAATGACTAAACCATACTTAAAAGACAAAAAAAAAAAAAAAAAAAACACCAAACAACAAAAAAACCAAAACAAACATCTAGTTTTATAGAAAACAATCCAGAAATCCCAAAACCTCTTCCATTTCCCCACCCTGAGGACCATACCTACACAGAAAACATACCTCTCACATACAGTAGCAACAGCATAGGATGGAATAAGTCCACACCACAAACATTAGCACTTAAGGACTGAAGGCAGAACACCACCACTGTTTAGAAGGTAAGCCAGCAAAATACTTTAATCATGATTCTCAGTTGCAGTCAGGCATCTGTCTGGGAGGGAGGCAATTAACAGCAGCTGACACAGCCTGGAGTCAGCACTGGTAGCAATTTTCCCCTCTGGCTGCTTCCATAAAATCAAGGCAGCTGTGATGCCTGTTGCCTGCCCTGCTGAACCCCTTGAGGTTTCTGGAGTTCTCTCACTAGCATATAAGGAGTTGTTGCTACAGTAATTATCCCTTATCTGTCAGCATCCTCTAAACCAAGAGGGTGTTTGATTCGTATTTGTCTATGTGCAGAAACAGGTCACCAGGAGGGAAATGGGTTTTCTTATTTCAGTTATCATACAGATGACTATAAGCACACAGAGGAGGTTGTTCAGAGTGTAGCAATGTAACCCTATTAGTCTTTTGTCAGTTTAATTTGTGGGATTCATAAGTTTACAAAGAAGCTGAGCACCAGCAGAAGTAAATTGCTTTTTTAAGCCAACCTTAGTTCTTCACTTTAAAGTGACATCCCAGCACACTAAACCTAATAGCAGCAAGATGAGTACCATCAAATGAATTGGGTTCCTCTCCAAATGTGCAGAAAAAATTAAGAAACAAATGGCCAAAACCAATTAAGTGACTATTAGGAAAAAGCAGCTGTTCTGCTTTTCTACCTGATATGGTACCTCTTTCTAGCTGTTTCTTCCTCCTTGCTGTGTTTCATCATTCCTTGTCTCTCCCCCTTCCTTCCTCTGCACCCCGTTCTTTACTTCTGTAATTTCTGAGAACGCAGCAATGGCTCCCCCTGTGATTTGTCACAACCTACCTGTGCTACCAGTTTTCTGGTGGCTACTCTGCCTCCAGTGAAAAAAATCTCACTCTATTACTGCATTGCGGTTAGTTCCCTGACATTTTAATGTATTCAGTTAGCATTTCCATCAAGCTTAATAAGCATGTACTTAAACAGTAGCATATTTTTGGGAAAAAGAAATAATAGGGCACGCAATTCTAACTCGCCTTGGGTATCAAGGCATGAGGCTCAGGGGTCAGGCTGTACTTAACTTACACAAGAGTGCAGTAATTTCATTGAAGTGCTCTATCTGGAGTAACCTACCACTGTAAAAAAGTTGAATCTAAATGTTAAAAAAAAGGAAAGATGTATGTATGGAGTGAACATTGCTAGGTTTTGGGGTGCAGCAGGTAAATCCATGCTATAAGGATGAAGCAATCAAGTTATCCATTTATTACCCTAGGAAGATCAAGATGCTAGGAGAGCTAGAAGTCCAACCAAACTACAAGTGTTAGTGGACTGTACTGACTGATGAAATACTCCCACAGTAAGTCACTACCTAATAATTACCGCAGGTGCCGTTTCCTGCAGAAGAAGGTGGTATAACAAAAGACTGGCTCCTCTCCGTCCAGCTTTTCTTATCATAAAATCATAAAATCATTTGGGTTGGGAAGCACTTTTAAAGGTTGTTTGATCCACCCTTGCAATAAGCAGGGATATCCTCAACTAGATCAGGTTGCTTGAGAGCCCTGTCTAACCTGACCATGAATGTTTCCAGGGATGGGGTAGCTAACACCTCTTTGGGAAACCTGTTGGAAGTGTTTCACCACCCACATTGTAAAAAATTCTTTGCTGCATCTAGTCTAAATCTACCCAAATTTTTTAGTTTAAAACCATTACCCTTTGTCCTGTCACTACAGGCTGTATAAAAAGTCTGACCCCATCTTTCTTGTAAGCCCCCTGCAAGTACTGGAAGGCTGCTATAAGGTCTTCCCAGACTCTACTCTTCTACAGGCTAAACCACCCTGTCTCAGCCTGTTTACATAGGGGAGGTGCTCCAGCCCTCTGATCATCTTCGTGGCCTCCTCTGGATTCACTCCAATAAGTCCATGTCCTTCTTATGCTGGGAGCCCCAGAGCTGGACACAGTACTGCAGGTGGAGTCTCATGAGAGCAGAGTAGAGGGGGAGAATCACTTAAACAGGTTCATTAAGCAGTCAGGGTAGCAAGTTGGAGCAATCATCTTGAGATATGTTTCAGCCAGATCACAACAGGCAAGCTAATAATGCAGATGTAGACCAAAATGCCTGTGTGAAGTTTGACCTGAAAGAGAACTATGTCCCTCAGAGCCGCTCAAGTGAAACACAGCCAACTTCTATGAATAAAAACATAAAAGATACCCCCTTGAAAGAAATGTTTAGAAAAGAACAGGCCAGTTTTGGGAATAATGACTTGCTTCCAAGGTTCTCTGAGATACTATCAGAAAGGTAATGTCACACCTCCAATAGCTGTCACAGGAAGACTTTCTGTGTACTCCATACAGTATAGTTCATGGTTTCAGTGTCCTACTGAGATACTGGTTTGTATGCAGCGAGACAAGGCTGTCTGCTCTCGTGTCATACACAATGAAGTTGAGCATTTTATCAGATGGAATACATCATGTTTTGTTGGTTTTTTAGACGGAAAACCCCGACACATGCAGTAAAAGCAAAGCTGATGGATTTTGAAAGCGTCAATTAGTTGCTTTGTTTATGCATCTCAGTATTCAGTTTATCACCTACTGTAACTCATTGTTCTGACTGAGAGGTGTTACTTGTATGCTGTGACATATAACAGTTAGCCCTTCAACACAGCCTGCCAGAAGGTGGTGTAATACACAGGATGAGCTGCTCAATTACTGGCTGCCAGGGGTTTACGCAACAGCAATCCAACTTCTATCATTCCACTAATGTGTAACTGGCAAGGACTCATGGTGAACCTTGGGATGAAAACAGTGACTGTCACCTCCACTGGTCCAACTCAAGCCCTGCATAGTTCGAAGATTACCAAAAGCAGCACAACACATCACATTTAATGGATGTAAGCAGACACACAGTGGCTAAATTATATAGTATTTCATCACAGACTGAATGGTTTTTTCCCTTTTGTTATTTTTCATTTTAATTACTAATTGATAAATTGATAAAAACATCTGATCTTACTCTTCGAAACATGATGCTGGATTCCTTGACTGGGTGGCACAGCCATTTAGCTGAAGGTTACCAGCATTTCAAGTACAGCATCAAGTTGCCAGAGCATGACCTCCTTAGAGGGCTTCACTACCCCAAGAAATTTATGGTCAAACATAGAGCAGTATTGTATACCATGGAAGTGGTGAAATCACCATCCCTGAAAGTGTTTAAAAACCTTGTAGGTGAGGCCCTCAGTGGCATGGTTTAGTGGTGGACCTGGCAGTGCTGGGGTAATGGTTGGACTTGATGATCTGAAGTCTTTTCCAACCTAGCTGATTCTGTATTCTCCTAGGGGAATGCTAGAGCACCTGCTTGGGTAAACATGTTCATTTTAGAGTAAAACTGGCTTAACTACACTTGCCTCTTTTCTGTGAAAGCTGCTTGTCAGCCTATCTGTCTCTTTCGATTTGAGATTTCATTGCATTTGTGGGCAGAACTGACAGGCACCTTCCCTGTTTTGTTCTATCTGCAGTTCAGTGTCATTCGGTCAAGGCAACACAAAAAGACCAGCACTCCCAAACAAATGAAAACAAATGTTTTATTTACAGGAAAAAAATCTGTACACTGTGCATACTTAAAAATATACAAAATCATAATAGAAAATATAGAAAGTGTTAAAATGTATACAAACACTGCTTAAAAATGTGACTCCTGTAAAATCTTAAGCTTTGTTATTAGAGTACACATTCATTTAAAAAAATCATCATACAAAATAATTCTCAAAGCTATTAAAAAAGTACACAGTCTATATTTGAATAGTTCAATGACTACATATTATGAGTGATGAGATGATATGAATAAATCAAAGGCTTTTACACACAACTCTATTTCAAGACCAAAACTCTGAATCTGATCACTAAGCCAAAGAGAAGAAATCTGCAGTGTCAAAATTCATTCAATAATGCAGGTATGCCCAGACATGGGCTACTTTAGATTTCAAACAGCTAAATCAGGTATCCTCCTTGTGTGTCAGAGGATAGCTCCAAGGAAAGATTCAGATGCTTTCTGATGGCAGTGTTCTAAAATACCTATGTGAAAAAAAAAACCAAACCCAAACCCAATTTAATTTATTCAATAAGCATCAACTTTAGAGAGCATGAAAGGATAAATACTAGCCATTTATTTTGCAGTCAATGCATTTAATATCCTTTCATGGTACATCTGTGTCACTGTCCAAGTGGCATCTTCCATCCTTCAAAACTGCTGAAGAGAAGGAAATGAAAAAGTAAAACCCCACTATGGACTGGATCGGTCTACATTTGTTTTGAGCTCCTGTTTAATTCAATCCGTCTCTAAAATGACTGTGTTCAGTCTGTGCAACCATTGAGTGTAGACACCTGTCTTCATTGAAGAAAAAAACTGTCTCGGTTTTCCTGCCTTTGCCAAGAGTCCTCCAGCAGCAAGTTCAGAATTTGTATGTTTTCACCAAAGTGAAAGTGTCCTGACCAAAGACGTGCAATGATTTACCTAAATTTGTCAAAGAGAGTGCAGATTAAGGAGTGTAAATCACCCCTCACTCTCTCCCCAAAGGTACATTATTTCTTGTATCATGGTAATTTCAATGACTTTACCAGAGTTTCAACACCGTAAAACTGCACAGCAAAGTAAGAAAGAAGATGTAGTACTTTAATCCAAGGAATGACTGAGCTGTGAGTTTATGCTCAGGTAACCTTTAGAACGATGAAGGAATGCAAGAATTTTTTGTCTAGCAAAAGGATTTCAGCTCAAAATGAGGAAAACTCTATCTTTTTTTTTCTTGAATAGACAGAATACCTTGATTTAACCATCCAAAGGATGAATGCATAAAATGATAGAGCACCACAAGTCAGAAAAGCTACAGAATTCACAGTGGAAAAAGAGTATAATGAAATTCCGCATAAACTCAGCGTGTTTCCTTAAGCTGCTGCGGTGTTTCTGCTTTGTTTCAGCTAAGTTCACTGTTGTTCACAGCACCAGGGCACAGAAATGAGGCTCCACAGCTTCTGAAGGCAACTTACTCCTACTTGTCAGTAATACTTCATAATTGTTAAACCTGCATTGTTGCAACATGTGTGAAGGGAGCTCAGGGGTCCAGCAGCAGAGGGATTTGCTTGGCTGATGATGCACCTCAGTAGCCCAGTTTGTGCAAACCTCTCTTGTCTACAGTGCTGTTCCACTCTGTTAGCATGTGACAGCCACAGGGGAGAGATACAAAGCCATGCCTGTATCTTTCCTTTCCTGAAAATCATGATCTGGGTAGAAAAAGGCTTTTTTTTTTTCACACTGTCTGCATTTAATATATGTATCTAAACCCAGCACCTGCATGTGTTATTATTATTAAAAGATAAACACTTAAGTGTTAATACACACTTCCTGTTTTAAATTTACCGAATGTGATTCTTTGTAAATATCACTCTGCCCTCATGTGGGATGGGGAAGTGCCCATAACTGCAAAAATACTTGGTGGGCTTTTCTAAAAGCCAGCAATGCCAATGCCACAGAGCATAAGCAGTATTGAGGGGAACACCTCTGCAGGTCCTTTATGACCCCCCCTTTATTTATCTCTGCCCCTTCTCCTCTTGCAGCAAATGGAGGCGAGCCCTCAGTTAGCAGATCAGGCACACTTGCACTTGTGCCAAAACCCAAAGGAGGACAAGACAATGTGGGCGAGTAAAATCTCTTTAAGGAGCCACAAGGTGTTTGAGCAGCCAGACCAGTAAAACATCACAGTGGAAACAAGTGTTGGGAAGCCACCCGAGGGATGCTTTGTTTACGCATGCTTGGGATGCTTACACACCACACGTTGGTCTTCCATCTCTGTGAGCAGCGTTTGCAGCGCAGCTGTATGTCATCTTCTGAGGTAATGGTGCTACAGCACCCACATTTGCACTTGCAGAAGGATCACTGACTGCCATATAAATCAGGCAAAGATATATGCTGGGAGGCCTTGAATGCGGGCAGCCCAGTGTATTAAAAATATACAGTTCATTCTGTAACACCTCAGACCTGGTTCTGCATTGTTATTTAAATGATGAATTAAGTAGGTATGCTTAGTGCTTATTACGTGTAACTTTGTAATTTGCCTTGCTCTGTACAACAGCTATGTTGATTGCTCTGACAAATTACTGAGGGAATAATACAGCATAAAATCCTGTTGTGGGTAGTTGAGTAACGCAATTAGTATTTTTCTTCCTTGTGAAAATCAAAGTTAAAGGTTACTGGCTGCAGACCAGCCAAAGTGATACACTTCCTTTTATTTGCAGAACTTGAGAATTTCCTGCTCTTGGAAAAGCAGGATATTCACTAGTCCTAGAAAGCTGATCAACTGCCTTCCTTTACAAACATATGGTAGCTAACCCTGCACACAGGAGAGACATGTTTGGTTGCACTGTTCAGACTTCCTATGTTTTGCAAACAGGGTACTAAACATATGGAAAAATAATTAGGTCTATGTAGGTTATCTATTCTCTACAAGATTAAATCATGGTGCTATCAAGAAATCAGTATGTAATATATCCAGAGTCTAAGGCTAGTATGAGTAAAACCTCTACATTTTGACATGTACCAAAATGATTTATGGACATAAGTATCCACATAACACAGAAGTACAGTTTTTAGCTCATCTGGACATACTTTCTGTTGAGGAATCCTCTTTAGAGGATCATAAAGCTCAAATTAAGAAACTACATAGAAAAAGAAGGGTAAATCCTATGTAAGACACATACTCTTCACTTCTGATGAAGGAAATCCATCAGACCCAAAGAGCAGCGAGAGAAAAAGGATTTTGTGATTATACTTACATTACTGTTGAAGAGGAAATAAGTCATTAATGCTCTTTGTACTCTTTTGCCTTTCTGTTGCTTAAGACAAAACACAAAAATTACTTTCCCCCACAACCACTCAGTTATTCTTTTCAGAGCCTCTTTGAGTTGTCTGTCTTTTTACTGAATGGACACGAGTACGATATAGCCGTGCTTTTGTGTGCATACGTTCCTGCTGAACTTACCCTAAAAGAAAGTGTGCAGCTGTGTGAAAAAAAAAAAGAATATTAACCTCCTGCTGCTTGGAAAATCTGAGACTGAAGTCTTGCTGTGGAAAATAGCATTTTAAATATATTAGCAACCAGGCAGATTTTTAGAGGTGCCTTAAGAGAATATTTTCATTGTGTGTTATGAAGGAAAATACCGAATTATCTCCATACGCAATCCGTAGTCAGGTTTTTTGCAAGCACTGCAGCTTCTCTGGGGTATAGTCTTTCAAACATTAAATAAAAAATTGTGATATCCACTCCCTATATATTCTTAACAGCAGTAACTTGTGAACAAGTGAGTTTGAGTCAGAGCTCAATGAAATTCCTCATAAATAATGTTTGTAATCCTGAATGCTATCTTTGCTGCAGAAAGGTAAGCTCCGTCTATGCTTGCTTTTAGCGTGGTAGGTTAATGGTGCCCAGCCTCCCTTGTCTTTCTCTTTTTCTTCTTTATCTGTGCAGACCAGGGGAACGATAAAATTTCCATCTCACAACCCCCTGATATGCCTCCCAGGGAGAGGTTTTTTGCTAAATGGGTTACAAATATGTCTGTTGCTCTCTAAAGAAACATTGTTGACTTCCTTCTGCCCTATGTGGGCATTTCAGTGTGAGCGTGGGTATCTGGCATCGGGAGTACATCCAGTCAATTAACTGTTTTAGCTGTGTGTACAGCCTTCTCTATCTGCACTGACTTCATAGCCACCATAAGGCCCCCTATGCAGCTGGAGGCCTGTAATTGAGCCTGCGTATGAACAGGAATTAAAAGTCTACTCTAGTCAATGACTGCACAGCTCAGAGTAGCGATTACTTCATTCTTGGAGAGTGTGAAAACCCCACGGAGCCATGAGAAACACTGCATTGTTCAACTGGCTGCTCTGTACATGAACAATAGAGGCTGTTTCACAATGCCAGATTTGACAGTTAAATAAGTTCATTAAAAAAAAGTTACAGTCTAGCATATGTGGCACAAGAGACCACTGACAAATTCTGACATTCACACCCACAACAATACATTATATTTCTGCCTAAGTATGTCCTTTGCACCTTTCGTGAGTTAAGCCTTTTTTTAAGTATTTGCAAAGCAGTAATAAATACTCAGGCTCAGAAAAGAAGTATTTCTCATGCCTGCTACTTAATTACAATTTATAGACTCAAGACTAGATTGGTCTAAGATACATTTTTCAAGTATTCTTCTCTTGTTTATAGTACGACAGTAGTACCTTATTGCACATTGTTTCTGAAGGACTCTCCTCTACAAGTGTGGGAAATTATTTCGTTTGGGGCACTTGACAGCTTTGAATCCTGGCAAAATGACCTTCCCCTTCCGATACAGATCATCCTGCAAACCTTTGTTCATCCTTTGCACCAACAGTTTCTCATAGAGCAGTGGGTGGTAGGCCCCTAAGGTACAAGCTGCATCGTAGTAGAGTTCATGGTAGTGACATAGGTCGGTCTGTCGAACGGAAGGGATGTATTCGTATACGTGCACTTCGTTACACATGGACATCATGATGAGGATACCTGGAGCAGAAAGTGAAGACAAAAGTGAACCCCAGATTTCACTTTTCTCACAGAAATTTCCCTATAGTCATCAATCTTGTTCTTCTTTCCTGCTTTCCTTTGGTGTTGCACACCTTAAGTAAAATCTGTAAAATCATTAAGTGAAGTAATTATCTTTGTATTAGAGCAGCTTTCACTTTTCCCAGACACATAAAGATTGTGATCCCTGTACAATCAATAGGGTAGGACAACAACCATAAGGAAAGAGTAAAGAGCCTGTAAAGGGCTTGCATACCACCATCAGCCTCTCTCAGTGAGAAAACTGCTCTTTCCACCTCTCCCCATTTATCTCCTCTCCACAAAACATCCCACAAATGAATCAGGACTTAATGCAGCTGCATACTACTTTCTTTGAGTCAGCTGATCATTTTTCTTGCTTTTCTTGTATATTATCAATTCTTGATTTATTTAACAAGACAGACCAGGTCTTCATATTCACTTGCAGAATACAGAAGACATACACACACATAGAGCAGTTGTCTGGTGTTTCTAAGGAGCTCTTCCTGGTACTTCTACCACATCCAAAGCTGAACTCTGGCCTGCCAGGTACAGGATATATAAAAAAATTCCAGGTATGCCCATTCTATCCTCCTCTGTTACATGTATTTCTTTCAAATACTTACATTTATCTTCAAAGCTGTGAAGATTCTGACTGATTTCCCTTTCCATTTTTGTCCACTATGGCAAGGGGAAACAAGAACAGAAAGATGGGCCAGTATCACCTATGTTCTGATCAGAAGCAGACCAGGACACATTCAGGAGGAAGATAGGTGGGCTTTTGCAAACTTTGTTCTCCTACACCACAACTGCACATGTATACTAGCAGAAGGTCTTTTATCTTTGAAATGGAAGAAATCTTACTGGTGTGGCCACAGGTTTTTGAAGGGATGCATATCAGATATTGATCAACAGCACTGTCTAAATTGCAATACTTTCACATCAGTCACAGTTTTTGGGAGCCTCTTCTGTTTCACAGAGCCACGTGAAAGGGAAATTATGAAGTAAGTCTTGGATAACTTTGTTTTTCAGATTTCACTTAAAAACGAAAAATACAATAAAATGTGTCAAAGCAATACTGATATCCTTGTCCACTGAACGAATACGACTGTCAGCTCTCAGAGGAGACAGCTGCAAAATACTGCTCACTTTGCACTTACAAATGAGAACTGATGTAATTGTTTTATTCTGTACAACAGCTCTGGAATCGTAACACATCAAAGGTGTTTTGGGCAGATCTCACAAGTGAAATAAATTAACATAAATCATTTTGGTTCATTAATTAAGGAAAGACATTTTCTGAAGTTCAGTTTGCAGTTTGGGAACACACAGATTTCAATGGCTTGCTAATGAAAAGAACCTTATGTTCTCCCTGCTGTGTATCATTAGATTATCAAAATGATTTTTCCCTGCCTGATGTGTGAAGTAACTGAAAACCAATTACTTCTGTGATTAAACCTTCTTTTATCATAAATGAAAGGTTCTGAAAATGTTTTGGATTGTTTTACAGCTTTACACTCTATGGTCTTAGAAAAGCTAAGCATATAAATTTCAAAGAAAAGTCCACAAATGTAAGCAAAGTATGAGCTTAATAAACCATGTTTCCTCACCTCCAAGCTGTTATGAAGATGCTTTGAATTGTATCCTGCCTAGAAACTATGCCTAGAGTTGTTCTGTTTGTTGTTTCAGTTTTACAAATGCTTTCGTCAGCTTTTCCACTGCCAACCTCCTTCCTCCACTGATGGAGAGCCCACCTGCCACTCCAAGGTAACCGTTATCCAGCTGAATCAGAGGATCGATGGTGGAAATGTGTGCAATAATGAACCACATTCAGAAGCAGTAAAATGACTTCTCTCCTGCACCCAGAGCCAAACCTGGAGCCTGGAGTTTCAAAAGCTCTACCACCAATCTCTTAGGAAAACTGGCTCTGACTGAAAGTACAGGCCTTAACCACAGTGTGTTTCATTTCACTGCCACGTTTACCCAGCTAACCTTAAAATTAATAAAGGAAGTTGCTATCTGTGTGATAGGAAAACTGTCAAGAACAAATATTGGGGCTCCCTTATAATTTCCTTAATAACCACAAAGAAGGCCACATCACTGCAAGGATGGTACAACAATAACAAAAATTTTAGCAATATCATTGACTTTCCTGTAAATCAGTTAATGGAGCATCTAAGAGTTTTAGTTCTTAGTGATCTGTGGATCAACGTCCCCCAGAATCAATCTAAAAGGCACACTGGGATATTTAGTTTAGCTTCTTGCCTTTCCTGCTTTGTTCCATCCAGTCCATGTCTTGGGATTTCAGGTTAGGTTGCTCATAAATAACCAGTTTCTCTCAGTCCACTCAAGTTTTTGTTCATACTGGACAATGATGTTTTGAGGGAGGGAAGACAAACCCTATTCTAGGGAATAACAGTAGTCAGTGCTAGGCTTTTTTTCCTTTAGCACTACAGACCTGCAGCCAAAGAGACCAATGGTGTGGTACAACCAGTGCTCCCAAAATACCTATGGGTGAGTCTCAGGGCATGCAGGACTACACCGTCAGTCTACATGAACCTGAGGAAGTAGGTGCCTCCATTTTTGCTGTCACAGCTTCCAAATTCTCCCTTGGAATGATCTGTTTCTGCCATTCCATTCAAAACCAGAAAGTAACATAGCACTATATAAAAAATAATAATAATAATAAAAAATAGAGGTGTGGGGCTAAAAAAAAAAAACACCCCAAAACAACACAAACCAAGCAGCTTTTTCAGAAAAGAAGCTGTTTTCTCTTTGTGTGAATACAGTCCTCATTAAAGCAGGGAAAAAATGGGTTAATTTCTGTCCCGTACCTTAGAGGATGTGAAGGCTCTCCACAAGTGACAGCCCTAGTGTTGTAGTAGAGCTGTTATTGCTATCAAAGTTTATAAAAAATATTAACTGAGCGTCTTTAAAACACTAGCAACGGTTTAGACAATGAGGACATTTACACCACTCCATGTACTAGGATGTATTCAATTTTTACATTCTAATGCCATGTCTACTAGCTTGTTTTTCTTATCCCTCTAGCTCAGCACTGCTGATGGAGCTCCCTGTGCTACCTGCCTCATATTCCCACCCATGGTTTTTGTCCCACTCTTGAACTCAATTTCTTTCTTTCCTTGGTGCTGACATTGCAGTGAGTTACTGCCATCTGTATCCAGCAGGTATAAGTGTGCCAAGCTGTCTATATTTTCATCTACCTCACAATTCAGTTTCCCCATCTTCCCTCTCTCTTCCAGTTACCTTCAGTGATCTTGTGATATTTTTTCTAAATTACCAGTAGCTTTTTGGCACTTAAATGATCCCCAAAATACTTTTTACATTCCGTTTGAACTTTTATGAGTATTTTATGTTTTGGATGCAGTCTGAAAGCTAGAGAAGATGTATGCCCCTGACTGCTTACTGACTTGATCTTGCCTCTGCTAACCTGTTTTGCATGCCAGTGTACTGTGAGAAGTCCTACATTGCTTCCCATTTCTAATATTTACAAATCTATTACTGCTTCCTAGGTTTCTCTTCTATGGCTGAACCTGTTTTGCATTTCCTCCTGCACCTGTAGTTTCCAAATGTCCCGTATTTACTTCTTTTCCCTGTATTGCCTGTGGCGTACATGCCTGTACATACTTCTTTTGTCTGTGTACTTTTCACATTACTGCCAAATTCATCTGCAAGTTTGTTTTGTATCTTAGCAGTCCTCCATGATCATCAGCATCAGTATGAATGAAAAACATATTGTTTGATAGCCTGTAGGGCGAAGAATTTCCGTATGATACACTTCAATATTTGTCTCTGCTCATAGTCCTTAAGTTAGTTTTTAGTCAATGCACATTTACTACACACAAAACAGCGCAAACCTAGGGTGACGTTATATGAGCACAGTGTCCCAACACCTTATGCTCTGGACAGAATGAATCTCACTGATAGGTTCACGCGCATCTCTAACCTAGCTGGTCTAAAGTACTCATGTTTATACACAGTGCAGGAGACAGGCATTTCTAGGACAAAAGTCATCTGACTTATTTTAGATGTATACATTAGGACACCTATATTTAGGATGGACTGTTCCCTGTAAGTGTTGTTCCTCTCCAGTGGCTAGGCAGAAACTGAAGAGTCTGGCTCTTGCTATCAAGCACCTCCTCTTCCATTCTCCTAGGTCAGAAGCTTTTGGAGCTCTGTGAAAAAATAATCTAACTGGCTTTTCCAGGAGCACTGTAAGAAGAAATGAAAATGAGGTGTGATTCATCTGACCAAATGTGCCCACTGGTGCAGTTACCCGCACCTGAGATAGGTATCACAGGCTCCTTTGCTGCCCTAGATGAAGATATGCACTCTTAAGGAAGCAGCACATGTCTACTCATCCCAGAGTAGGTATTTAAAAACAGATCATACAAGTAATGTCTCAGAAGTTCCTGTGTCCTTGTTGACTGTAGGGGAAGCCTGAGTGAGTGGCACAGCAAGCAGGTGTAAAATGGCCATCAGACCGATCTCTTCCAGATCTGTTGCTTAACCTTTAAAACTTTTAGGTTTTAGTCTCCAATCTAACATAGTAAGGAAGATGTTAGGGTATCTGGCATGATTTCAGCTTTGGCCAATGCTGACTGGTGCAACCATGCATTCAAAATCACAACTGAAGATACTTCTGTATAGGTCACTCTAATTCTAATGCCCTTGCTGGATTTTCAGAAGTCACATTTGGATTACAACTGTGAAAATTCAAAAATGCAAAATAATTCTGCCTGTGTGGAGAAAAGTTGTTTTATAGTAGATCATTCACAAGGATGCTTTATGGAGGTTTTACAGTTGAATGGCAATGTTCATGACTACTGCATTAGACAAAATAAGCATTGTGAATCATAGAATCACAGAACGGTTTGGAAGGGACTCCTAGAATATTCTTGAAAAAATATTTTAAATATATTATTCCAAAGAAATTATGTGGC